TTACTATTTCCAGCTCTTTGAATTGGAACATGCACATCGAGGATACCATAAAGAAAGCGAACAAACGTTTGTATTGCTTAGTACAATTGAAACGAGCAAAAGTCCCAGAAAAAGAAATTGTGCAATTTTACTGTACTTGTATTAGGCCCGCATTGGAATATGCAGCGCCAGTCTTCCATCACTCTCTACCACAGTATCTGGCAGATGATTTAGAACGTGTCCAGCAAAGATCATTGGGAATTATATTTAAATGCGAAAAGTATAATAAATGCTTAGAGTATTCTGGGCAAGAAACTTTAGTCAATCGAAGGCAAATGTTATGTTTGAAGCTGTTTGATTCGATCACATCAAACTCAGATCACAAACTTTATAAACTTTTACCCCCAAAGAAGAAGCAGACATATAATCTGAGACACAAACGTTCCTTTAGTTCTCTTTTAGCACGCACTAAGCGTTTCAAGAACACTTTTATACCACATATGTTAAATAGCAAATAATGTCATTTGCACCTTGTATCCTGTCACCAATTGTAAATATTTATATAACCTACACCATTCTTGTACATATTACGTAAACATCTACGCAATTCAGCTTCAGCTGCAAAGTAGTTTTAATAAAACATCTATCTATCTATAACAATAGTATAATCTAATTAGCACCAACCAAGCAAATGACAGATTAAAAAATCTGTTGTCGCATAGACCAATCAGATTTCCAACCGAAATACGGTTGTACGGCATGGACTTTTGTTAATTAAGATTTGTATCAAGCATGTTTATTTATTTATAGGCCTGATCACAGGTTAGACCTCTTAGTTACCCCATCTATAGATGCACTGTAATGCGAAACTGTGTTAACTTACATGAAAATTTGTCCATTGTTTTCCAGAACGTGTACTGGGTGTTAACAATACAACAATATGAGCTGTCCTGTTTACAAAGAAGACATTATAAAAGCAATAAAATTCAAGCTGGACAACAAAGAGTAGGGAAGGAAGAGCAATAAATTGAACAAGAAACTGAGATTAGTTGACATACATTGTTTTTTATATGGCTACTAATTCAAAAAACTGATTATATTTAGTATTATTTGTTCATTTATTTAATATATATTTATTAAGTTCTTTGTATGATTGCATGGCGATAAAATATCTAACACTTTTTGTTTGTGGAAACACCACGTAAATTTTTTACTGCAAAGCTTTCGATCCGTAAGCCCGGATCGAAAGAAGATCGAAAGCTTTGCAGTTAATAAATCTACGTGGTGTCTCCACAAACAAAAAATGTTATATATAGTTTATTATTATGCAAATAGCTTATTATATTTATTATATTAATAAAAATATGTTATCAGAGGAACAAATTTCATGTGCGAGGTGGTGATGTGCTGCATGCATGCATGGTATACTAAAGTATTTCTTTAAGAAACTATTATAATAGTTTTTCAACTAAAGTACAGTAGACAGTATAGTTTCTTCCAACTACAGTTTTTAGTCAAAACTAACGTTTTTGACAAAACTATAGTTTTTAGCCAAAACTATAGTTCCTACAATTACTATAGTTTTTAATTACTATAATTCCATAACTATAGTTTTTGTTCCAAAATACTATAGTTTTTAGCCAAAACTATAGTTTTTAGCCAAAACTATAGTTTTTAGCCAAAACTATAGTTTTTAGCCAAAACTATAGTTTTTAGCCAAAACTATAGTTCCTACAAGAACTATAGTTTTTAATACTATAGTTTCCATAACTATAGTTTTTATTCCAAAATACTATAGTTTTTAAAACTATAGTTTTTGGCTTGAAAAACTATAGTTTATTTTTGTACTAACAATGTCAAGTATGCATCAACTACTGCGTCATTGAGCCATCCTGTATTTGGAACGCTATACGACTTGTTAATTAAAGGATATTCTAGAGACTTGAAGTCCTTTCCATATAAATCATAGCCATCTTTTGTCATTGTACATATCTCCGTATCTTTGTTACATATATCCCATAGGCGGAAAATTTGTTCATCGTCTGGAGAACTGTTGTTGTTCTCTGGATGGGCACAGGTTTCACCTTGCTGCTCACATTCATCATGATCGTTCTCGTTTTCATTAATTGGTATGTCTGTATTTGGGCGCATCATCCTTCTTTCCGGAATTACCACTATCATCCTTGTTGTTTTTTGAATGTCGTCATTCCGTCGTTTGTTGTTTCTTTTATGACTGAATAGAATGCTACATAAACTGTAGATGCCACATAGTTTTCCCAGTAAGACGAAACATCTTTAATTACCGTGTCGTTAATTTCCAACACACTGTTATCATCGAATACAACAGCTGTGTAATGTCCACAGTCGATACGTTTTCCATAATGTAATGCGCATGATATCAAGTTGTAACTTCGATAATTTTCGCCAGCACTGAGGCTGAAGTGCCTGGGTAGAGATACTTTGGCGTGATTCTTCTCTCTTTGATCTTCATCTATTTGGAATCTTTTAAAGGTCGTTGGTAATTCTAACAGATAACCATTTCTGAAGTGGTGTGTCTGCTTATTACATATTTCGCAGAACATTTCTACAACATCTGTGAGGCTGTCGTATATACTATCTACAAGGTTTGTTATATCTTCATCCAAAGGAATAAAAAAAGAGAAAAATTTCTTAGCATGTACATTCTCTCTTTTGTAGCAATCTAGACAAGTTTTATCATACTGATGTAAACCTGAAAAATGGTTGGCAATCTTGCTGTTGTCTGATAGACTTACGGAAGATAACGAGGTCAAACTCTCATGGATATCGTACTGCCTTCCCTTCAACATAACCAAACTCATTAATATATGATTTGTATAGCTTGCCAGGGTAGTACGGTTGATGATTGTTTCCGTCAAGCTTCTTTAGTGTATTTACTAAAGCATCAATAAGTGGATGTATTGTTGGGCTACAAAGAGAGAAAAGAAACTCTTTCATATTTGAAGCATTTAGACATTGCACTAGACAGTTCATCCAGCAATGATTTGCTTTGTTTATCAGCCCTCTGTATTGATTTGAACTTGAATAAGATACGTTTCTTTCACCTTTTGAATTCACCTTTTTATTCATATCATTTAAATGTTCCTTTTTTGATGGATTCTTTATTTGTCCCGGTTGAAATTCTTTATCTTTAGTTCCTTGTTTCTTGGATGTTTCCTTAAATCCGTCTTTATCTTCCTGCGGCAAATGACGACATAACTCACCAGCCTCTTTAGCCAGCCAGTTCATGGATTTTCCGACGTTCAGCTGCTCGATGTTTTTTCCCTACGCTGTGTGAAAAATTGAAAAATGCCGAAGATGGTTTCTTTTTCAAATTTTTTTCATGTGTTACTTAATGGTATCGTTGAAAACGATAGGCGAAACTGACCGATTTTAGGATTTCGTTTAGGCGTGAGTGGGTTCTTCTTTCCCCATGTTTCTTGCACAGTTGAATAATTCTTTCCTGTTTCAGCATTTTCATCTGAGTTGGACAGATCCTTTACTTTATCAGGAGGATTTTTAGCAGGCTTTGAAACTTGTTTGTGGTGGACACATGTTTCTTTTCACGTCTTTCCTTCGCCTCAAATTTATTTTCTTCTTTCTTATCGTCGTTCACCTTCTGCTTCTTAACATCAGGTCTTGTGCTCTCAATTCTTTCGTTGTATTTTTACGTTTTTGTCCTCGCTTACTTGCAATTCTATCTCCGTAATCGTTTCCTCTCCTTCGCATCCTTTGGTAATTTTCAAGAACGAAAGCATCAGGTCTTAATCGAGATCTACCAGGAAAATCGTCTTGTTTTAGATTCCTTATCGCACATTCAATATACCCTTCCATCTTTGCGTTTACAGATTTGAACGACAAGTAGGGATAATCTTTCAAAAACTGATAACGGTCGAGTGAACCCAATAAAGCACCTGACCATAGCGGTATCTCGTGTAAATAGGACTTCGAAAAGGCATGTTGTAAAAGACGGACTGGACTGGACTAGACCGGACTGGACTGGACCGGACCGGACTTGAGTGGACTGGGAAAACGCGGACTGAGTACGTGTTTTACAAATCGCGGATTAAATTTGTAAAACACGGACTGGACTGGACCGGGAAAACGCGGACTGAGTCCGTGTTTTACAAATCGCGAACTGAGATTTGTAAAACGCGGACTGAGTCCGTGTTTTACAAATCGCGGGCTGCGATTTGTAAAAGGCGGACTCATTCAATACCGTCGCTTGTAACTAAGGATGAACGGTCGCAGATAAAACATTGTCTATTCTCATGACAAAGTCCAATGTTTTTACCGAGAAAGTTCAATATTTGTGATGGTCATGTAAACCTGTCAAGTGCTCTTGACAAACATCGAAGATTCTCACGCGAATAGGCAATGTTTTTATGAACGACCGTTCATCCGTCCATCCATGATCATTGTCTTGAAGGCGTTGGATACACCTTTCCTGATGGATGACGGTACTTGGGTGGTTAGACAGTTGTACAATTCCCTTATTCTGTCCGTAAGTCCTTGTCGGTTATTCATCTTTCCTCTTATTTATATGGAAAAGTTTTTTTGTCGTTAAATTATTCCTAAAGTTGATTTTGTTTTCCAAACCCAAAGGGTTTGAAAGTAGGAAAGATGAACAATCGACCGACAAGGACTGATCGTCAAAACAAAAGGATAGAGTCCTTTTATTTATATGAAAAAATTTTACCTTTAAATTAATTCTAAAGTTGATTCTAACGCAGAAGGTTACAAGGTAACAATCATGACTGGTTCAGGGAATTATGGACTTGTAGATGAGGTCCTCTTTATTATACAGAAATGTTGATTTTATAGTAATTTTAATTCTGACATTGCACCTTTTTATCCCACAGAGATCAGAGGAGGCGACCGCCTATTGAAAAATTCTTTTGACCGAACTGTCAAATTTTCTTCGCAATGGACGACAGAGATGAGAGCGTACAAGGACTTATAAATGGGATTCAAAGCACCTTTTGGAAATGTCCCAGAAGAATCCAACAATCTATAGACAAGACTTTTCAGATCTAAATAAAACATGGATCTTTTCAAGCAAGCGGAAAAGGAATACTTCAGTCGCAAGGAACAGCAATTGGATGCTAAAGCTTGCAAACATCAGCTTATTAATCTTTCCGGAGTAATAACATGCAATTTATGCGGACTAGAAGCTTATCCCGTCTTCGTTTCTGTGATGGATTGTTGGGACACAGCAGTTTCAAGAGGTCAGGACAAAAGTAGCATCAGTCATAGGTATGAGAATTTTTGCTGCAAGAAAAATATATCAGATTTTGTTTGATCGGGAGAAGAAAAATATGAGATCGTGAGAAATATTGAGAAAGTTTACAATGCAGAGGAACCCAAAAGAGGAGGCTCCCTAACCTCAACATCCTAACTTATCAAATATGTAAAAGACTCGACATAGAAATAGATGAGACGCTACTTAAGATTCCGAAAAGCAGAGTTTCCCATAATCGGTGTAAGAAGATATTTCAAGCATTAGGCTGGGAGTATATTGAGTAATAGAAAAAAAAAGATTTTAATGTTCCGCTAAGCATTAAAATTGAAATGGTTATTTTAGAGTGACGATGACGAGAAAAACCTCAACCGTTATCGGGATCAGCAGGCAGCTAATCAGGCACAGCCACATCAGTTTCTGTGGTATCTTCATCATTTTGTTTTTCATATTTTTTTACCTTTGCGCTGACGTAACCGATCTGAGTATGTGCGCTCATCGTGATGTCTCCTCCTTCAATGCCAATACCCAGGCTAAACATTTTTCTTTTTCGGTGGTTTTTGTCGTACTTCACTCCGTTTGTGATTTCAGATTTTGTGGACAAGCATCCCATTTTTATTTAACCGGAAAATAAAATGCCATTTAACATGATTATCGTAGGTATGACAGCTTGTGGAAAGACACACTACCTCGTCCAGGAATTGAAAACCATGTTTTTTCATCAATTTGAAAACATATTTTTAATTTGTTCCACCTATCACTGGAATAGGATCTACGACCAGGATTTCATTCACGAGGATGACAGTTTCTTTGTTATTCCCTGCCGACAGGACGACGTGGAGAAGTATCTTAAATTTATCGTGGATTTCACAAAGGGAAAGGAATCCCTCATCATCCTGGACGACTGTGCCAGCACCAAGTCCGTGAAGGACCGTACGGGGGAGCTGGTTGATCTTGGGTTTAGCGCATGTCAAATGAGTATTTCCACCATCGTTATCACTCAGCAACTGACTTCCATTGCCAAGCCATACGTACCGACAAAATATTTCGAAATTCGTAACATTTTATAATCCGAACAGACAGGACATGAAGATTATTTTGGACGAATATCTTTTTCTCGACAGCGCGGAAATGAGATCTATTAAGGAAAAGCTGAAGGAAAACAAATACGCTCATCTTGAGGTAAACCTGGTTCATCCGTTCAATGACGAGGTAAAGATTCCGATGTTATAATAAAAGAGATGGAACCGGAATTATCGACCGCGGAAAATACGGACATTGAAGACTATAGGGCGGAGCTTATTCGCCTGTCCAACGCAGGGGAGATTACCCAGTCTGAAAAATATCTCAGGAAAGCGTCTGACAAAGTCATTGCAAAAGTCCGGAAGGACTACATCGTCGTACAAAGGGAAAAGGCGAACATCCTGCTGACGGGAAAGCTGTCCCCGGTCATACCATATCTGGGGATCGTTAGCGGTGGAGTGGCGACCGTAAACATGTTTACGGAAGAACACCCGAACCACCACCATCCGAAGAAGGACCAAAGACCGACATTAACGACTAAGTACGGAAATAAAAAAATTTCCACACTCTTCTAGGTTTGGAAAAACCATTATCCCTAAATATTTTTTATTATTTTAGTACTGTACTCCGGTGAGTTGTCCGTTTTCAACACCGTCGGAAAGAACGAACATGCGACATACGACGTTCGCAGTTGTAGCTTTTTTCGTGATTTCCACCAGTATTCCAGACTGGGTGTTTTGAATTTTAGCACCGTTTCCAACTGTGCTGACATCGTTTACGGTTCTGAAATCGATGACCAGTGTGGTGTATGACCCATGATGCTCTGGGGTCATCGCCACGAGGCATGACAGTTGTTTTGGAAATTATATTAAAAAGCACAATGAATATCGAAGAACACTACATTGGCGACGAGGATTAAAAACAATTGATTATGGCTTCAAGTCACAGAAATGGCGTTTACGTCTGAAGTGACACAAAATAGAGCGATGAATTCTATCGGCAATCTAGAAGAAGTTGATGAAACACGCGACGATTGGACTGCATATATAGAAAGAATTGAACAGTATTTCCTTGCGAACGATGTAGCCGATGATAAAAGAGTTCCAGTTTTGTTGACAGTAATCGGAGGTAAGACGTATAGTTTATTACGAACACTGACTTCCCCTGATAAACCTTCGACCAAATTATTTGATCAAATAGTGGCAATCTTAAAGGGACATTTGTCGCCCAAACCCTTAGTGATCGCAGAATGATTTAGATTTCATAAGCGGGATCAAAGAGACGATGAAAACATTAATACTTATGTGGCTGAAATTAAGAAGTTATCCGAACACTGTGAGTTTGGTACAGCGTTAAATGACTCGTTAAGGGACAGATTTGTTTGTGGACTATACAATGAATCTATTCAGAAACGCTTACTTGTCGAAACCAGCCTTACGTTCGAGAAAGCGCTAAAACTTGCGGTTGCCATGGAAACGGCCATGAAAGATTCACTTGAGTTGAGGGGGAAAGCGAAGACAATACCTCCTGTGAACAGTATTCGTGAAGTCCCAATGCAACATAAATGTTATAGATGTGGGAAAGAGGGGCACGAACCCCAGGAATGCTATTTTAAAGATCAATATTGTAGAAACTGTGGGAAAAAGGGCCATATAAAACGTGTATGTAGGGGGAAGCCATTTAAACAAAATTATCCTACCAAGCCAAGTTCGAGCAAGAAAAAGGGCCTGGAAGTGAATAAGGTTCAAAACGAAAGTGACAGTGATAGCGAGGACACCTTGGCATCCCTAGAACTGCACAAGGTTTCCAAAACCCACACTAATATAATCTGGGTAACCCCTGAAGTGGAAGGGAAACCCCTGCAAATGGAATTAGACACTGGCTCTGCTGTATCTGTACTTCCATTTAGTAAATATAACACAACGTTTAAGTCAAGCAAACTTCACCCAACAACCACTGCCCTCAAAACCTACACCGGGGAGAGAATCCAACCCGTAGGAGTCTTGAATGTCCCAGTTAGGTATAAAGAAGAGATTGTTACGGACGCTAGTATAATTAGTCTAATTATTTCGCGCCGTTTGTTGACATTAGCATAATTAATTTAGGGCCAGTCCTCGCGAGCGAGGTCTTTTGGAAAACTATTGATATTCGTGATAGATATACAAACTTAATCTGCTTTAAAATCGCCATAAGATGTAAGTATTTCTTTCATTTTGACTTTTAACCACTTGAACTTGTTGTTAATGAACGTTATTTGTAATTCTATGTAGCAAACCTTTGTTTACGACCGATATTAGTCGAAATACGGGCAGAATCGAGGACAAAATGATGCATGGATATTTGATATGTACAAGATATTTGTCATAATGTACTGCTTAGAAGAAACTAAATTTGAGAGTAAATAAAGTGTAATGACGTGGTGATTATTATTTGATATATAAACGACATTCGATTGGGTTCGTTCCCAACAGAGATGCAGAAGCTAAATTTGTATGTGGTCGAAACAAAGGGGCCTACCCTTTTTGGTCGAGACTGGCTAGAAAAGATCACACTAGATTGGAAAGCAATGAACACATTGGCAACCACACCACCAGGAAATTCATGAACCAGATTATAAGAGATCCTTGATAAGTATAGTGATGTTTTTGAAGAAGATATTGGTCTGATAAAGACTACCAAAGCAAAGCTGAACCTGAAAGAAAACAGTCAGCCATAGTTCTGCAAAGCAAGACAAGTACCATGTGCTCTGCGACCAAAAGTTGAGGTTGAGTTGACCAAGTTGCAGAATAATGGCATCTTGACCAAAGTTGATTGGAATGAATGGGCAAACCCCGATGTTCCAGTGATAAAGAAGAATGGTAATGTTCGATTGTGTGATGATTTCAAGCAAACCATCAACCCAGTCTTGCACATTCAACAATACCCTCTCCCAAGGATTGATGATATTTTCGCCTCCCTCGGGGTTGGCAAAAGTTCAGCAAGATTGATCTGCGACAGGCGTATTTACAGATGGAAATGGAAGAAGAGTCAAAGAAATTCCTAACAATCAATACCCATAAAAGATTATTCCAATACAATCGGCTTGTATTTGGTGTAGCATCTGCCCCCGCAGTATGGCAACAAGCTATGGATCAGATATTGGAAGGAATTCCCCATGTGCAGTGTATCCTTGATGACATGATCATATCTGGTACAACCGACCAAGAGCATCTTGACAACCTAGAAGAAGTTTTCAGTCGACTTAGTAAACATAGTCTCAGAACCAACAGCAGTAAATGCGAATTTTTCAAAGAAGGAATCGAGTTCTGCGGTCATGAGATCAGCAAGCTGGGTCTGCACAAGTCCCAACAGAAAGTGAATGCTGTGATAAATGCACCACGTCCTGGAAATGTTTCCCAAGTTTGTTCCTTTGTTGGTCTTATTAATTAATTATTACCACAATTTCCTTCCAAATCTTTCTACCTTACTTCAACCATTAAACCAGTTGCTCGAAAAAGAGAGACGGTGGAAATGGACCTCTGAATATGAGCAAGCTTTTCTGAAAGCAAAGGAGTTAATTGCATCCGAGGAAGTCCTTGCACATTATGACCCTCAACGCCCAATCAAGTTAGAATGCGATGCATCTTCGTATGGGTTGGGGGCAGTTTTAACATGGTCATGGGTGATAATACTGAACAACCAATAGCTTATGCTTCAAGGTCCCTTACAAAACTGAAAAACATTATTCTCAGATAGATAAGGAAGCATTGGCTTTAGTGTGGGGTGTGCAGAAATTCCATACTTACATATTTGCACGACATTTTACCCTCCTAACAGATCATAAACCATTGACAGCAATTTTCAGTCCAACCAAGGCTATACAAGCAACGACTGCTGCTCGACTCCAACGATATGCACTATTCCTTTCAGGGTTTGACTACGAGATTGTACACCGTAGTTCAACGCAGCATTGTAATGCAGATGGATTGTCTCGTCTACCTCTAGCAACAACTGAAGATGAAGAAAATCAGTTTGTTGACTCGGTTGAGGCATTTCATGTTTCACAGTTCAGCATGTTGCATGTCACTTGCCAGCATGTACGCAAAGCAACCCAACGAGATTCTAGAAACCCTCGCCCAAGTGTATGAGCATGTCATGAAAGGCTGGCATGAAAATAAAGACCCCAACCTGCAACCGTTTTATTTTCGAAGAAACGAACTAACTGTGCACCAAGGGTATATTATGTGGGGGAGCAGAGTTGTCATTCCCACAAACTTACGAAGCGAAGTACTACAAGTATTACACGAAAGTCATGTTGGTGTGGTTAGAATGAAAGCTCTGACCAGAAGTTACGTTTGGTGGCCAGGAATTGATTCGGAGATTGAAGGGCTAGCAAAAGGATGCAGTGGTTGCCAGCGGGTTCAACATGCCCCCAAATGCTCACCATTACACCCATGGGAGTGGCCATCTACCCCCTGGCAACGTATTCATGTCGATTTTGCAGGACCATTCCTTGGAATGATGTTTTTAGTGATTGTTGATGCTCATTCAAAATGGCCAGAGGTAATAATCATGTAATCGAATACAACCACCTCCAAAGCTGTCGAAGCCCTGCGAACAGTATTTGCTCGAAATGGGTGATCAGAACAACTGGTTAGCGATAATGGCCCTCAATTCACTGCAGAAGAATTCCAGCTGTTTCTAAAGAAAAACGGAGTTAAACACGTAACTTCAGCACCATATCATCCAGCCACCAACGGCTTAGCAGAAAGATTCATTCAAACCATGAAACAATCATTGGATCCACGCAGACCAAACTATCCAAATTCCTAATGAAATATAGAAACACACCACACAGCACGACTGGTGAAACACCTGCAACTCTCTTCATGGGACGAAATTTACGCACACGGTTAGACTTGATCAAGCCGGATATTCGAAAGCATGTTATAGAGAAACAAGTCAGGCAAGCCAAACCCAAAAGTGCTATTGCTGGTAATGTACGTCAACTATTCATTGGGCAGGCAGTTAGTGTCAGAAATTACAGCGGGAAGGAAAATTGGATTCAAGGAATTGTGCGTGGTCGAACCGGACCAGTGTCATACCAGGTCGAGATTGCACCAAATGTTATCGGGAGGAGACACATCGATCAATTACTTGCCTCGGAGAACAGAAACGACACTCAAGATCTCGAACCAGTTACGGATATTCCAGGTTTGGCCAATGAAAATAATGCTGAAGACGAAACAGCCGTGGACATACAAGACCAACAGGAGACTTTAGAACCAAATCAAGAATTGGATGAAGTAGAACAACTTGAACAACGATATCATGTCAGAATTCGGCATCAACCAAATAGGTTAGGACTTGATAATTAATATAGTACTTGTTATGTATATAGTGCGAACATATTATGGACGCCACAAAAACATTTATATTTTGTTGACAATGTTTACGTGGGGAGAGATGTGGTGTATGACCCATGATGCTTTGGGGTCACCACCACGAGGTATGACAGCTGTTTTGGACGCGATAAAAAAAAAAGCACAATGAATATCGAAGAACACTACAGCATGCATAAAACAATTAATTGAACTAAAATAGCAGATCCCCTCCCCGCCTGGCTAAAAAATATGTGATCCCCTGTTTCCACCTCCCCACCCCTCCTGCTAAACTATGACCAGTCCCTTAATTTAAATAAGTTTCCTAAATAAGTTACGGAATTTCACTACAACGTACTTAGTTTATCAAATAGTGTTTCGTATCCCAGTTAGATTAAACGGGTTGAGATCAGCCCACGAGATAGTTTACAAACGAAAATGTTAATATATACTGTTACTTAGACTTAGAAAACTATTAGATGAACTTACTAGACATGACTTTTTGTGTTAAATATTTATTCCAATAGAGTCAGAAATCAAGTTTATTGACATGCTTTCACAGTCCGGTCTTCCTGTAGTTGAAGTGACGAGTTTCATCTCACCAAAATGGATGCCACAAGTTAGATACCTTCATGTTGCATCGTTAGTTATTAACACGATTTGTTTGTTATTAGCAATAATGATGATTAAAACTTTTCCAGATGAAGGACAACAGGGAAGTCATGCAAGGGATCCATAAGAATCCATTAGTGTCCTATCCAGTTTTGACCTCTAACATCCAAGGATTCGATACCGTTGTAAGTGTACATACTTAAACATTTAAAAATTTGTCCAGTGATATAAGCTGCAGAATATTGGATTGTGTACAAGAAATCAAACTTTCCTCTTTGTTCTTAATGCGTATTGGTGGAATCTGGAGCAGAAGTTGCAGCGATTCTTGGAAGTGCTTCAGAAACCTTTAGTAGGTATAACTCTCTGACAGCGTAACCTTAAAAGCAATACCGACACAAGATAATGCAAACATCAATTTATTGGTATCTATTTTAGGAAGAATCTGAATTGTTCAATAAAATAGAGTTTGAAACGCTTTGTGAAAGTTTGTGAAGCAGCATTGGAGAAGATGGTCAGATTACGAGGATACTAATATGAATATTTCCATCAGAAGAATTTTAATTAAAAGATTGAATTTTAATTAACCAACTAATCAATTCAGTACAATTGTTTTCCAAATTCCATTCCGTGAATTTTATCCTAATATTATAGGTACGTTTCATGCGTTGTTGGGAGAAATCATACCGGAAGCTGTAACAAGGATAATGTGATTTCTCAGTATAGTTGGCCGTTGATTAAACACCAATTATAAGTCACGAGTCATAAGGTGGCTGCCAGAGGCTCCCTTGGTGAACTTTCGACTTGGACAGGTTAAGCTGCTGCGTCCTTCGCAATTCAGCTTAGCTCTCTGCTTCAAGTAATGATGATTAGCATACCCCCACTTACTTACTTAATTTTAAGCTATGCTCTCCGAAATTCATAAGTGCAAGGAAAGATGGCATCGCCCTACTGAAACGTTAACCCTTATAACATTTCAATTCATTTTATCTGCTGTGAGTGAAGCGATGGAAGGAGTCCTGGGAACGAGAATTGATAACTAGCGCCCAGTCTCCTGGCGAACGCTCAGACCCAGGATTCTGTGATTGCCTCTTACAAAAGGAGCTGATTAATGAACAGGTGAATATTTTCAAATTACAGATTTTTCATCTTTAACTATTGGGACGCTGGCATTTTTAAAATATGATTTTTATTTTATTTAACTTTTGAGTGAACAGTAAGTCTTATGCATAATTCTAGCAAATGCTCAGTTACCTTTGTTCTATTCTATTTTTCTGTAAATTAGAACAAATCAGAACAATAGTAAATAGGCATGTGAGTTATCTAAAGTTGTGAATTGGGATAGCAACATGCAAGTGAACAACGTTAGCCAAATTTGTCAGTTATCAGGATCATAGTTAATATTTAAAGCGGCAGTGTAATATTTATAAAGTATAGTGATTTAAATGGTTTTATATTCTCACTGCTCGCTTCCCCACACAATAACTGAAAGAATATTATTAATATTGGGGCTAAATAATTTTCAGTCAAAGGTAGAGTGTGGTGAAAATAGCTCCGAAAGTGTCGTAGCCGAGGGGAGGTGGGTGCCACCAAAATAAATATGTGAGCGCTGTTCTCCCTTTTCGGTGGCAAATGCTCAAACTTACCAATTTTGTGCTAGTTCTATACTATCTGACAATCACGTGGTATATATGGATGACTAACTAATCATCTGATGTATAAATATTCAGATTCCCCACACAATACCTTTAATAATTTTTATCCCCGTCGAACGTCGACTCCCCACTCCCCAGACAACCCCATAAACAGTTAATAATATTAGAAGAACTTTATGATAGTCTCCAATACTCAGGAAAAAACCCTCATTTGAAAAATTATGTAAAGGAAAAGGCTTCTCTAAAATCAATATCTTGAGACACGCACAGTAAGTATCCACGCTTCATCAAAAGCAGTATCTTAACTCACGCATAATAAATATCTTTGCTACAAATGCAATGTTGCCCAGTTGCCTCAATGAAGCCATATTTTCACGTTGTTTTATCCAAAGTGAGTTGCTTTTTTTAATGTCAAAATGAAATCTTAGGTCATGCACGAAAGGGATGCTGTCCACTTCACTTCACCCAAAGCAAGATTTTTTTGTTTTATTGACCAAATGAATTGCTACCTCGCGAAAGGTATACACCTTACACTTCTTTTCGCCCAAAGCGCGAGTTTGTTTTGTTAAAATCCAGACCAAATGGGATCTTGCCTCACCAACAGGCATATCTTACACCTCGCTTCACCTAAAGCGAGTTTTGTCTAAATTTAGTTGTAATCACCAAATAAAATCTTGTCCCACCTGCAAAAGCATATTTTCATTGTTTCTCTAAAGTGAGTTTTTTTGTTAAATAAAAATAAAACTTATAAACTAAAATAAAGTTTGCTTTTTTTAGCAAATAGAACTTTGCTTCACCGAAAGTATATTTTACAATTCGCTTCACCGAAAGCGATTTTTTTTGTTTTGATGGTCAAATTAATAAATATTGCCTCCCCAAAGTGCATACTTTTCCTTTCGCTTCGCCCAAAGGAGTTTAATTCCTATAGCTGGTTCAACGACCAAATGAAATATTGTACTGTCTGACAGCGAGTTTTTGGTGGAGGATCAGCCGATCACACAACGAGCGAATAACTCATTACGAGAACTCCGTCGTATATAGATCGACAGTGTATAAGGTACTAAGTTTGCCCTTCTCGATAAAAGTGCAAATAGGTAACATAAAACAGATGTAGCAAGGCCAAAGGAAAGGTTTTATTCCTAGAGTACTGCGGTATTTACTATCACAACAGCGAAATATCCCACCACACTACAAACAACTGATTAACGAAGACCACCTTGACAAACAGCGAAAGCATAAGGTGGATCCACGATCGTGAGAGATTTGAAAACCTTATTAGTGAAGATTTTAAAAAGAAGATTTCCTGTGGATTGTGGAGGTGTGCTTGAGGCTAAATGCTTGCAAAAACAGTTTTACACCCAAAACAAATATTAATACATGCATGCATGAGAATAATAAACACGTACGTGTGTACCATTGACCCAAAAGCTTAAACTAATTAATTTAAAATTATTAACGAACTCTGGAGTACACATTTCCAGAATGCATCCGAACACAAGAACACGTCGCAGACATGTGTAGTATTTTTGTAAGGGAACAAAACATATGCCTTGGACAACGTCAGGTTTTGGCACATTTCAACTCGCTAAAATGTCGTATCATAATACGGATCTGTTTGAATATAAACCAGTGCCAGTGAAGCTCTACAAGTAATATCACAGTAATGAATTAAAATATCTCTACATGTAGAGAATGTGTGAAAATTACTAATACAGATGCAGAAAATTACATGCATGCCCTAATCGTTCCAAAGCAAATGGAATTATAGAGAATTATCTACCTGGGTAACTTGCAGTTGTCATAAGGCGATGTGTAATTTTCTGGTAACAAATGGTACGTGACGCCGAAGATAGAGATGTGGTGATAGAGGTGACCATAAACTCGCGGGGATAGAGATGACCATAAATTCTGTAGCGATAACAAACTGGTTGGCTGATCCCATCATCCCAAGTACAAGGTTGATGCGATTGCCAGTTGACGAGGACAATTTGCATCATACTCATGTATGTATGATGAGCTAATGCACATGCATGCATGATAAGTTAGTTGTTAGTGAGCTTTATCTGGCTTCTGTGCAAGCAAGGCGTTTCGTTAAATTCTCTTCGGCAGCTTCTTCTTTCGTGAAACCGGACTCGGCTGAGACACTGATGACTTGGATGACTAAAACATTTCAGCGCCGCCTTCCCTTTTCGGTGACAAATGCAAAAAATTATCTGAAAATAGCGTTACTCAGTAAACGGTACAGATAAGTGTTTTTCACGCCGCTGAGGAAAGTTATCCGGTACAAGTGTAAACGTAGCCGTTTACAGTGTACCGGGTAGGTTTCTGAAATTCGCAATCATAGTTTGAGATCAGTACGAGGTGACTCGTGACACAACCGCGCGCGGGCGATTATTGGTGAACATTAGACTTCGTTAAGGTAATTCAGCAGTTTTGCATTGCGCACTTTTACTGCGCATATCTTATAACTTATAATTTCATCCATTATACGTACCGTTTAAAAAACATCATTTTATGACAATTTTATGTTACTTCAAATCATCTTTGGTTACATTCGTGCAAAGAATTACGTTAAAATCAATGTTTTCAGAAAAGGCATACAAAGATGTAGCTAGGGTGCTGTGTCTGTAGTATATTTATTTACTTGTATTTCACGTTTTAATGCCACAATTCCCTAAAAAGATCGGTGATCCCCGTTTTTTAACGGATAATTTATTTCTTTAATGCATTTTACATTTCATATCCGAAATTAAAAGAAAAATCATTTCTGCATCTTGAAAAAAAATGCTTTATCAATGCAGGTTGGTATAGCCATAACAACCGTCATGGCGGAAGGACGTGCTCTTAATAGGCTCCATCAAAATGTTGTTAATACAAAGAAAAATAGTTGCCGTCTGAATTCCTTTCTTACTAGTGCTAGTTGCACTGAACTGCCTAGCATGTCTTATGATGGAGTACGTTTAAAGTGGACCGGTGATTTAACAAATTTAAAACGAATTGTACGAGAAGTGTGGGGCCTCGAAGGCAAATGGTCATCACCTGGGGGCCAGTCGAAGAAGTTTTCTAGCACAAACTCTGACTTAGTAGTCACATGGCATAAAGGTAAAGCAAAATCTGTGCTTTTTAAAGGTAGAGACGGTGTTTTGGTGCGAGATCGATGTATATTGCTTTGCGAACAAGCAATTCAGTCCATGCTAAAGCCAAATTTGCCAGACTCCAATGAAATTAAACTCTCGCAGCAAAATATTACAAGTGCGTGTGATTTTCCTAACCTATCGGACAGAAATATGAATGCCGTCATCGATTCCCCTTCCCCGGTTGAAAGTATACAAGGCAGAACTATCCATCGTTCAGCTCCCGCTTTTGTCAACAATCATTGCCAGACTGAGCATATGGAGCTGAATAATAATAATTGTGGTTGTGGCTGCGGAATTCTGGTTGCTGAGTTTGAAGGGATAAAACTTGATTTAGTTATTTTACAAAAGAAATTTGAGATTGAATTTGCGACCGAACGTACCAATGTAAGCCAACTTAAGCGAGAACTTGCTCATGAAAAAGATAAAAACAGTCGTCTTGAGTCGGACTTGACTTTGTTTGTGAGAGAAAGAAATTCCGAAGTCGATGAATTGAATGAAACAATAGCCTTACTTAACGACAGAATCAAAACTAGTGAAGCGATTATTGATCAACTGAGACCTTCTAATGCAAGCATAAATTTGGAAGAAACATGTACTTTTGATTCTGCTCAATCAAAAGACGAGCTTGTCAGAAAATATCCAGTTTGTGTCGACATTAGTACGCAAACCAAGAATGACGATCAAAAATTATCTAATAATAATGCTGGTCAGTTTTGCATGAGTGAAAATGCGTATGTTAATCTCCTTAACAAGGTGGCCGAAGTGCGCAACGATACGGTTCTTTCCATTAGTCAAACTCGCATAAATAAAAACGTTAATGCAAATTCCTCTAAGGATTTGGTCGCATGTCATTCATATTAAAGAAAGGACATTGTTTAAAGGGATCAAGATGTGATTTTTCTCACAATATTAGCCAAAGTCGCAAAAAGCAAGCGTGAATCACCCTAAAGAAGTCATTGAAGTTAGCAACGATGTGGTTTATCCTACTACCCTTAACGACAGTAGTGTTAGTACTAATTCTAGTGCTCCTAATAAAATGCATGCTATACCAGTAAGAATCACCACTCGGAGACGCGGCAAGCGTAACCCGCAAAAATTCAGAAGGAGAAATAGTGAGCATTTTTTATGGGACTCGGGGAATCCCAATCGCCCTCCAGAATCGAAACTCGAAAATCATAACTCCTGGAAGGCTTACCTACAATCGGTCAACCAAACTTTGGACCAACTTGGAACCCTAGTATAGGTGAAAACCTACGTACTAACGATGACATATTCACTAATTTATCTTATTATCCACCGCCACGCAATTCGACTGAATAATTTGATAACTATTCATGTTTGTAAACCAGGACCACCAGAGTCGCTCTATTCCTACGTGTATTGCAATTAATGCGAGATCCTTAGCTAAACCTGACGCTTGCTCGGCATTGTACTTAGAATTGAATAGTCACAATGTAGATCTGAGTATTGTGACAGAAACTTGGCTAAAATATACCATTCCCAGTCAAGTGGTATGCCCTGACGGTTTCACAGACAGACCATATGGTAGGCAGGGTAGTGGTGTAGCAGTCTTTTGTAGGCACGATTGGAAACTCAAAATTTTGGAAGAATTTTTGAATCCTTATGAATGTCTATGGACTAAAATAACATCCAATAACTCGATATTTTACTTATCAGCAATATATCATCCTCCATCTTCTAAGTACCATCCTGATGACCTCCTTGATTTCCTAATGGACTCATGTGAGAGATTATTATCATTACACCCAACGCGAAACTAATCATAGCTGGTGACATTAACCAATTGGCGATAAAGACATTCGTTAGTACATTACCATTCGTTAGTACAGATTGTGAATCTTCCGACTCGTGGCCAAAATATCCTTGATGTGTTTGTAGCCAATGTTCCCAACTTCTGGAGTAAAGCTAAAACGATAAAAAGCCTTGTACGATCTGACCATCTGGCTGTTTTACTTAATTAAACCTGTGGTTAAGACAAAAGCCATAAGAAAAACAGTAGAGTTTCGCGACTTAAGAGAGCACAATAAGTTAAAAATGTTGCGGAAAATGGACGACTTTCAATGGGATACAATCTCTAGTGGTACTTCTTGTCCAAACGAATTGATCAACAACTTTTATAACAAAATCTGGCCAATATACGAAGAATGTTTCCCAATTATTAAAACACGAGTATCTAGTAGAGACCCTCGTTTTCTTTCTCCAATAGTTAAGCATCTATTAAAGCTGAGGAAAAGTGCCATTAACAAGAGAGATAACGAGAGCAGTCATCGCCTACAAGAAAGGATTAATAAACTCATTCGGAGCAATCAACTCAAAGCAGTTAAACAAGAAAATAAGAACCAAAATTGTGGATCTAAAAGATGGTGGTCATTAGTTAACAAAATAACTGATCGTGGTAATAGTGAAGTACCATTAAGCCACATTATTGATCCAAAGGTAATGAATGAGCATTTTCAAACTATTAATACAGATCCTGACTATGTTACCCCTCAACCTCTCCCTATTCCCCGTGGCACAAGAGTACCTGAATTATCCGTCCATAGTGTTTGTAAACTACTATTAAATCAGAAACGAACCACCTCGGGTCCAGATGAGTTACCACATTGGTTTTGGAACACCTATGTGTATGACACTGCGCCTGTGATAATCATCATTTTTAACAGCTCAATCAAACTGGGCATTGTTCCTGACAGTTGGAAATTAGCAAATCTTTTTGACTCTCCTCTGACAGAATCAAACCAATTACGACCCATTTTGTTGACTAATATAATTGTTCGGCTTTTTGAAAGAGCAATCTATACAACAGAATTAGTCCAGGTGATGGAAAATGCCATCCATAAAGATCAGTTTGCATATAAAAGAGGTTACAGCTCTACAATGGCCCTAATAAAAGCGCAACATACCTGGATGGAATGGTTGGATGGTAATGCTAGTATGGTACGCGTCTTCTCTTTTGATTTCAGTAAAGCTTTTGACACTGTACCGCACGAGATTTTATGCAATAAGCTGAAGAAACTTCCTATTAGTCCCTATATTACCAATTGGATCATCAATTTCTTAACCAATAGGTATCAACGAGCCGTTGTTGATGGCGTTAAAACAGAATATTTGCCTATAAATCGTGGAGTTCCTCAAGGAACAGTATTAGGTCCAATACTGTTTTCTATAATGATTAATGATATCCGTCCTGTTCAAGCCTCAAACTTAATTGTTAAATTTGCAGATGTTATAAATCTAGGAATTAAGGTCACAGATGATAGTGACGCCTCTTATATGGAAACAAACAATATTATCAACTGGGCGGAAACAAATCGCATGAAACTTAACTACAAAAAGACGTGGGAGATGGTCATTCGCGGCAAGATAACCCGGCCACTTCCTGCGCCTCTGCCTATGATTGTTCGTAAAAGTTGGTTGAAGATACTTGGTGTAACGTTTCAAGAGAATCCTTCCATGTGGGACATGCATCTAGATGAATTAATGAGTAAAGCCTGTAGCAGAATGTACATTATTCGGATTTGCAAATACTACGGGTTTTCTAGGAAAGAGCTGGATCTTCTATTCCATAGTCTTATTGTATCAATAATAGTTTTTGGTATTGAAGTCTGGGGATGTGCGTCGTATTCTAAGTATCTTAGTCAAGTAGATAAACTTTTAAAACGTGCATATAAGTATGGATATCTTGTGTATCAGGTATCGATTGTTGATATATTAAACAATAAAGACAGAGATTTATGGCAGAAAATAACTACGGATCGCAACCATGCCCTACAAGTTTTGCTGCCTCCTAGTCATCAATTAGAATTATGCAATCACGGACATGAGTATGAACTACCGAGAGTACGAACAGAAAGGTTTAAAAGAGTGTTTGTTAATAGATGTCTTTTTAACTTCATATGATATTTTTTAAATTAGAAATTAACTTCTTAGGAACTTCATTAAACATTATAATATTGATATTTTAGCTCTATTAATGAATAATATCAATACTAAGTCAGAAATTAGTATAATAGTTATTGATAAGTAAGTGCAAATTATAAGCCCGCACGTTTGTTTTGAGGTGTTGTTTTTAATATTTTAATAAAGATTTATACATACATACATACATACATACATACTCAGCAGGTGCGAAGAACCTGATGCAAGAAAGTACCTCGCAGGCAAGTTTTATGTTTAAATGCGACAAACCCGCTCCCAGTGGAGAGACGTGCAATGGGTTCCTTGGATTTCGGGGGCGCAACCGGCACGCAAACAACTGGGGGGACGATCCCCACCTCCGTTCTAAATATACCGGCCATTCTTTATTATTCTGACACGGCACGATGGTATATTTAGACCTAGATCATAAATCTAAGCTGGCTACGCTTCCGAATGTAAAAAGCTAAGCTAGGTTAAAAAAGCTTTAAAAAAGCTAAAAAAGAAGACAGAAGAACACCGAACCGATCCAGGCAGTACAACCAATGAAGGCGACCCCCGTTCACGGAACGGCAAAGGAAAAGACTAAGCCAGCTAGCACAGGAAGACGACGAACCGATTCCGGTAGTACAACCAATGAAGGCGACCCGCGTTCACGGAACGATGACGAGACTAGCTAACTTAGGGAGAAATTAAAATGAGAAGACCAGCTTCTCTCCCTCAAAGTGCCCTAGAGTGTTATTTGCCAACCACTGCTTCTCAAATGACTGAATTTGAGGAGAACAACAGCGGCTGGCGACCACTTTGAGGAGAAATTTAAGGCGCGCAATGATTGCCTTCAGACAATCCACTTTGGTGCGGTGTTGATCACGAAAGCGGAAGTCATTTTGCGCAACCCACAGATAATGCTTCACCAACTGCAGCATCCACATGATGACCTGGGCGATGCGCTGACGCCTCGCACGCGAGAAACCGAACAAACAACTCGTCGACAGTGAAGGGTGTTGCCGAACCGTCGTACATCATCAGGTTGAAATAGACCCAGCCAACCAAGATACACAAAAAACATACAAAAGAGGCGAAAGAGGTCAACCTTGTCGAACACCGCGAGAAGGCTGAAAGAAAGAAGTCCAGCCATTAATGACGACTGCAGACTCGATATTTGTATAAAATAAATTACTCCATTGGCGAAAAGAAGCGGCAAAACCAAACGTGAAGAGGATGCGGTGCAGAAAGGACCAATGCACCCGATCAAAAGCCTTCTTTTGGTCTAAAGGGAGAATGGCAAGAGGGACGTCTGCTCGATCAGCATACTCAATGAGGTCGCGGATCAACATCAGATTTTCAGAGATGGTGCAATCCGGAATACCACACGTTTGGTCGTAACCGACTATCGAACCAATGATAACCCGAGTGGCAATCTTATAGTCTACATTCAGCAGACTAATGGGGCGATAATTTTTAGTTTCGAGGCGATCATCCTTCTTATACAAAACAATGATGATGCCTCGACGTTGTGAAGTTGATAATTGACCTTGTGTGTAAGCGAGGTTCAGGACACGAACAAGGTCTGGACCGAGAAGGTCCCAAAAACAAAGGAAGAATTCCGTAGGGAATCCATCGGACCCCTGGCATCTTACCCTGGGACATACCGTGAAGAGCAGCATAACATTCCTGTTCCGATAATTCCCCTTCACAGGACTGGACCTCCGACTTGCTCAAACGGCGAGTTAAACGATCCAGCATGATGTCCTGCTCGGATCGATCGCACTCCTCAGCCGTGAACAAGCGTTGGTAATATGAACGCCATGTCGCCAGGATCTTAAATGGGTCATTGTGTATGAGCCCTGTGTCGGGGTCACAAATACTGGGAATGGCCTGCTTGGCCCGGTGCTTTTTCTCTAGGCTCAAGAAGAAGGAAGATGACGTTTCGCCCTCTTCAGCCCACCGACAGCGTGCACGTACCTGAGAAGCCTTAGCTTCGCAAAGATGGATCGCACGAAGCTCTTACTGCACTGCACAAAGTTGAGAAAAAGCCGAAGAATCACCGGCGTCAAACAGACGCTGTAATCGCATGAGCTGTCGTTAAAGGTCATGCTTGGCCTTGGACTGTTCTGGAGCACGACTACGACCAAAGCAACGAGAAATTTCTTGAAGGAAAAATTTCCCCTGATCCCACCAATCAAGGGAAGAAGAAAAATCGGAAGAGGACTCTTGAGCCTTCCAAAAAGCCCCAAAAGAGCGAACCAAGGCACAATACTCGCGATTGTCCAGCAGCGATGTATTGAACTTCCATACCCCCGGACCACACGCAAACACATCACCCAAATGGAACTTGAGCAACATGTAGCGATGATCAGAGAAAAAGGAGGTATGGTACTGACAATCCGTGATCGAGCGGTCCAAAACCAAAGGTGCCCAGATCATGTCAATTCGGGAAGAAAACTTACCCAAAGCATGATCCCACGAAAAGATCCGCTCCGTAGGGTTACGCATACGCCACACAGGAAAAGTATGTGTGGCAGAAAGCAAGGATTGCAAGGCTGCAACACTTTCACAAGCCATTGCCCCTTGTGAAGGACCGGCATAAGACGGATGGTGTCGTCTGTCTATGTCCGGATTGAGGACGGCATTGAAGTCCCCACAAAAGAAAGTAGGCACAGCCAAGTCAATGTAATCTGGCAAATTCTTAAAAAAAGGTGTTGCGCGCCGGGTTCTTGTTGGGTGCGTACAGAGAAACAAAACGTAACCTGTTCCCCTCAATGGTGATCTCGACCTGCAAGAATCGACCATCGTCATCTTTACGAACCTGTGTAAATGTATATAAATCGTTTATTAAAATGGCGACCCCACATCGCTTATTTGAAAAAGAAGATGAGGCCACACGAAAACCTGAATTACGGAACCAGCTCAAAATAGTGCTGTGAGACGATGCATGCGTCTTTTGCAGACAGACAATATCGGCTTTAATGCATTTCAGCCAATCAATGAGAGCGGTCCTTTTAAGTTGGTCATTAAGACCATTAATGTTCAAAGTAATTAAATTATACATTGTTATTGTTATTAAAAAGGCTGACCAGAGACTGATCAGCTAAAACATCCACCTGCTCGGAAGCAGAAGGGAGCAACGATGGAGGATCGTCCACCTCCGAAAAAAAGGATCTGGCATAATGCGAAGAGACTGGTGAAACTGGAAAATTGGAAGGCGTCGTCAACCGGCCTTCAGAATCAGAACTTGCGGGAGAAAAAAGGTCTGGCGACTCACGGAATGGCAGCAAAGAAGAAGAGCGTGACAAGACAGCCAGAGCATAAGCGGAGCCCGCAGCAGGAGAAGCAGCGGAACCAGAAGCCTGCCAAGGAGCCAGAGCCTGACAAGAAGGGGGATGGCAGGTGGAGAACTAGCAGCATCTTCTGACGCAGGCTCATAACAAGGCACAGGCGGAGTTGTGCACACAGGGGTGTGGGTCACAGGACTGCCAGCAGGAGACGGCTCAACAGCTCCACTAACAGGCGAAGGAAGTGAGGCAACAGGTTCGGCAGACTGCTCACTCCTAGAGAGGTGCAGCTGCAGAGAGGGCTCAGAGGGTGAAACAGAGCAGAAGACTGGCAAGTAGCTGCCACAGATTCACCACAAGGTACAGGTGGTTTAGTACCAGCAGGAAATTGGTCCACAGATGGAGGAGTGGAACCAACCGGCTCGGCAGCACCATCGGTAGGCAAAGGACTGGCGAGCGGATCAACGACGTCCCGGCAAGGGACGCTAGATCATCCACAACAGCATGTGCCCGAGTGGAAACATCCGTGCTATCAGCAGGAGCATCACTTATGGCAGAGTTGGTACAGGAGGGCTGAAGATGGTTTTCCACAGGAACGACGACTGAAGAGACAGGCTCAGGGGCAGCCAGCTCATCTGCCTCGTCCGCCAGCAACGCATTACGGTTGGAGGTGACAACTGCCGGAGAATCAACTGGCACAGTATGTTGTTGCATGGAGACTACAGACATCTCGACTGAAGTATCAGCAACAACAGACACCACGTCTTGGTTTCGGCAGATGGCAAATGCCTCAAGTCGACGGGCACGTATGATCCTCCTGGCATCTGCCCGGTCTGGGCTCTGTGTTTTTGCAACACGTTTAAAACTGGACACACGGCGAGAATAGGAGAAATCACCACTGAATGTGACGTGTTCCTTAAAATCACTCAGATGGATTGACAATCCAACGACCTGCATGTCCAGTGAGATGGAGGGTTCATCAGCTGCACGTACAGACTCATGAGAAGAGACGTCCATTGCTACAGCATGACAAGAGAGGGCAGTAGAGGGCGAGACGTAATCCTGCGATGGTGCTGCCCCATCAGGAACAGGGCCGTCTGCAGAAGCAGTGGCAGGCAAAGAAGAAGGCTGAACAGGTGCCTGAGACACGACAGAACTCCTGCCGGTGGAGACAGCCTCGGCCATAGTCCTCCCAGCTGTAGCACTCCCAGCCTTAGCACCACCCGACGCTCGAGGGCACAGGCGAGCAAAATGTCCAAAGGAACGCCAGCCAAAACAAAACTTTGGTTGCCCACGATATTTAATTGCGCACTTAAAATTAGAAATAGTGAGTTCCGGTGGAATGGGCTTTAGGAGTGACATAGACACCATGCGGGTGCCAGTGCGTATGTTGGGGAACCCCTGAACTGTTAGGTGTTGCACACTGACTACCCGACCAAAAGGCGTCAAAGAAGTTTTGATATATTCATCCGGCATGTGAATAGGGGCACGGTCAATATAAAAAACGTCTGGTGAAACCTGGTGATGATAGTTGTGTTTTGAGAAAATACCACGAAAAAATATCAACAAGCTAGGGGCAGCTCCTGACCACAACAAGTCAGTACTACAATATTTAGACCACAACAAGTTCAGTACTACAAAACGCATAACACACTTTGAAGAGGCTTTGGTGTAGCTGACACTTCTGCCAAAC